CAAAATGTATAATTAATGCAAATACAAGTTATGGACCCCAGCTTTAATTTCTCCTGTCAAATTGGGTTCTGTACGAGTATGCACCATGTTGGATTTAAATCAAAATCTAACATACAGTTTCCCACTTCCCAAAGATAGACCCTAACCCTTGTCCTCTCTTCCTCCACTGCTCCTAACCCTAACTTTATTCATACACAGTGGATACAAAGTTTACATACACTGAGAAAGAGACTATTTATCCCTGTTTGCAATTCAACTTCTGACTTTAAAGTAATTTTTAAAGTTACAAAATTCAGAACAATGACCTCCCTCAACATTGTGAGGCACTCCTGGCTTCTACCATAATCCACGTTCTAATCGTTGAACTTCCAATTGGCGATAGATGCTACATTTTTGCAGCAAGCGCGCTCTCCTCCTCCTTGTTTAGTTTCCACACATGTGCAGAAAGGTCAGGTCTTTTGGTGGAGGGTCGATACGTGGGGGGGAGGGGGGTTTGGGGCCCCGGTAAAAGGCTCTTTGACTGTGCGGAGATGGACAGGACAGAGACATAATGGAGACGTCGATAAGGTGAAGCCCCCCCACACAGATACAGCGCTCTGGGGACGTGTGTGTGTGTGTGTGTGTGTGTGTGTGTGTGTGTGTGTGTGTGTGTGTGTGTGTGTGTGTGTGTGTGTGTGTGTGTGTGTGTGTGTGTGTGTGTGTGTGTGTGTGTGTGTGTGTGTGTGTGTGTGTGTGTGTGTGCGAGCCGAGGTAAACGCCACTGCAAACACAGTATACAGGAATGGGGAATGCATAGAACTGCGGACAAATCAACAACGACAAAGATTGGCCCAGCCCTAGTCCAAACCATGTCTGCATCTTGTATTTTTTTGTTTAATTAAAAAATGATAATTAGCTATCAACTGACTATATTTTGCAGACTCCATCATAATCAGGAACGACACTGTGGCCCCTAGAGGAAAAAGTTTGGTGACGTCTGTCCAGGATTAAAACGACTTCAGATTAAACTATATGGGCTTGTTCACACTAAAGGGCACAAAAGTGTGACAAAAGGCCAAAAATTTGATTTTAATAATCAGAAGATATTTTATGTTTTTCATGTTTCCAAACAGCTCCTCTGTTCATTAGAAGTTGCTAGAACATAACTGTTTTATACATTAGACAAGTTTCCTGAAGCGGCCCTGTTTATTTTATGTAACGGATGTGATGATTTGACGGAATGAGCTTTGTGGAAGTTTGATGGTATTTTCAGATGTCCACATTTGATTCAGAGATTCTATTTTTTTACACAAAGTAGATGCAAAGTGATACTTTCATATTGTCAAGCAATTAAATGTGAAAACAGACCAGATTTTATTTTTTTCTCAAGTTTAATTTCTAGAGAAAAGAGGACCGTCCTCATCACGTCCGTTATACATTTTTCAGGGGTCATTTAATTCATTAATTATTTTTTATTTTTTTACGATTCCTTTTTATATCAAGTGATTTCCTTCTGTTGTGTTAACCATGTAAATCTTGTGGGATTTCATCTTCTGCTTTTTCAGACTGAGGACATTTTATTTTCTATGTAACTGGAGTCACAGTAGAATGGTCCAATCAGAGGCTAATTTGGTCGTTTAAAATGTTGCTAAACATTTTAATGTCAATCTTTCCTTTTGATTTTTTCCACACTATCTGTTCAATCTGTCTGTGTTTGAAATCTTTTTTCCCATCTATGAAAGTAATTTTAGTTTTTAAGTTATGACCTTTTAAAGTCCAGATACTTCAATTGTCACTTTACTGTGAACACACTCATATACATTTGCTTTTGCCGCGACCAGGCAACGGATGAAGCGGAAGAAAACAGATGGATGAACATGTACTTTTATTGACTTAATCCTAGTTTGAGCTTGGTTGGTGCCTGGTTACACTGCAAAAAGTGATATTTTTTTTTTTTAAACAAGAAAAAATTACTATTAGAGGAAATGTAAAGCAAAATGAACTGTGTTAAGATTTCCAGAAACAAGAAAAAAAAAATAGAATAACAAGTGATATTATAGTATCTTCAGCATGCATGAGTAAACAATTAAAAAAAGAAAGTGTGATTAGATAAATACACTGAAATCAAGTGAACTACTTAAGTCTATATGGTTTGTTTTCCTACCACTGCTAGGTCTGGCTTGTGGTTCCTGAATGGCGGCCCCGCTCCCATCGCTGTGTGGAGGGAGAGGAATAATGCCCACTGTAAAGCGCTTTGGGACTGTATGTAAAAGGCGCTATATAGATAAATATGATTTACGTTCATGATTAAAATGAAGAGATTCGTTATTCAAGACTTTCAGAGAAGACGTGACAACAAATATTGAAACTGATATTAAGATTTAACAGTAAAAATTGTGTTTTGGATGTAAACGGGAAACTGGAGCTTTCCTCAATGTATTCATTTAAATTAAAACATGTGATTGAATATCTGGAAAGGCAAGTTTAATTGTATAGCACAGGCAACTCAAAGTTCTTAGAGATAGAATAAGAAATATAGAAATCACACAAGAAATTAAAATCCTAAATAATAATCTTTATTTGTATAGCACTTTTAAAAACACTGTTTACAAAGCGCTGCACAGTCAGCATGATAAACAATAAAAGCAGTCATAATACAAGGTCAAAATAATTAGATACAGAAACACAAAGCAAACAGAGCAAAACACAAAAGAAACACAGCATGTGAAGTTTAAAACTAACAGTTAAAAGCTGTTTGATAAAAGTGGGTTTTAAGAAGTGTTTTAAAAGAGGAGACTGATGGAGCCTTATCTCCTCGGGCAGGTCGTTCCAAAGCCGAGGAGCCCGGACAGAGAAGGCTCGGTCCTTTCGTCCGGAGCCTCGATAAATAATCACAGAGCGGTGAAAAGAGTGAAGAAATACAAGCCACAAACTTGCAATATGTGTGTGTGTGTGTGTGTGTGTCAGTGTGTATTTATTTGTGTGTGTGCATAAACGTGTGTGTGACTGTGCGTGTGCATGTGTTTTTTGCACTGTATATGTGTGTATTTATGTGTGTGTATCTGTGTGTGTGTATATATGTGTGTGTGTGTGTGTGTGCGTGTGTATGTGTGTGTGTGTGTCTGTGTGTGTGTCCTTGTAAATGTGCTGTATCCGCATTATTCTTCTGCTCTTTATTTAAATGATGAATATTTAAAGAGCTGACGAGCGTCGTATTGATTTGGCCGATTTATGACGAGAGGCTTTGATATGTGCGGCTGACGGAGCACGCTGCATGTTCTACACACGTCTCATTACAGGCTTTCAAGACTTTATTCACAACTTTGGTATTTTTTAACCCTTTGTCACTCATTGCAAAATTTAAGTCTCGTAAAAAAAAAAAAGAAAATTCTTCTCCAAGATAGATGCTTAAAGAGATAGATACATTGATTGATACTTTATTGATCCCTGTAGGAGAAATTCAAGTGTTCACCAACAAAAATACATCACTAATACAAACATAAATACAATAAAATTAGTCTAAATCCACAATAATAACTGAAGTTTAGATGTTATCTTAAAACATATATTTGTATAAACTCATAAAGCAACCTCAGAATGTTTGCCTTCAAAGTTTCTCAGAGCAAATGACAAATGAACCACTCGTGAAAAGAGCGGTTGGATGAAGACTGTGATTACTAAATGGTAACCGTGGTAACCTAAATTACACATATGACCAAAATGATCTGTGATTATGCAGTAACTTCTAAGGTAACATATACTTATACAGTACATATATACTCTGTGAAATGACCATTAGATCTACTTCTGTGGAGGTTTGTAGACTGAAGCTCTGTGACTGTTGCGACACAATGGAAGTGGACCCAGCATCGACTCAAGGCCTTTGCAAAAGTATTTATTTCAGTCTGGAGCTGGAGCAAAGTAAACAAACAAGTGAAAAACACGTATTAGTGATGTGCCGACCATGTGATCTCGGGGAGTTTTGGTTGGAGCAGAATGTGGAGACGTTGGAACCTTCTGGAAGCGGCCGCACCACCTGACTTTGAAGTAGTTTCGATGAGGCGCTTCAGAAGAGGACCTGTCTCATGTCTACTGACCTGTCTCACATCCACTGACCTGTCTCACATCCACTGACCTGTCTTACATCCACTGACCTGTCCCTGTCACACGTCCCCTGACCTGTCTCACATCCACTGACCTGTCCCTGTCACACGTCCACTGACCTGTCTCACATCCACTGACCTGTCCCTGTCACACGTCCACTGACCTGTCTCACATCCACTGACCTGTTCCTGTCTCACGTCCACTGACCTGTCTCACATCCACTGACCTGTCCCTGTCTCACGTCCACTGACCTGTCTCACATCCACTGACCTGTCCCTGTCTCACGTCCACTGACCTGTCTCACATCCACTGACCTGTCCCTGTCACACGTCCACTGACCTGTCTCACATCCACTGACCTGTCCCTGTCACACGTCCACTGACCTGTCTCACGTCCACTGACCTGTCTCACATCCACTGACCTGTTCCTGTCTCACGTCCACTGACCTGTCTCACATCCACTGACCTGTCCCTGTCTCACGTCCACTGACCTGTCTCACATCCACTGACCTGTCCCTCTCGCGTCCACTGACCTGTCTCACGTCCACTGACCTGTCTCACATCCACTGGCCTGTCTCACATCCACTGACCTGTCTCACGTCCACGGACCTGTCACATGTCCACGAACCTGTCTCACATCCACCAACCTGTCCCTCTCACGTCCACTGACCTGTCTCACATTCACTGACCTGTCTCACATCCACTGACCTGTCCCTCTCACGTCCACTGACCTGTCTCACATCCACTGACCTGTTCCTGTCTCACATCCACTGACCTGTCTCACGTCCACGGACCTGTCACACGTCCACTGACCTGTCTCACATCCACTGACCTGTCCCTGTCTCACGTCCACGGACCTGTCACACGTCCACTGACCTGTCTCACATCCACTGACCTGTCCCTGTCTCACGTCCACAGCTGTACGAGTTGGACAACGACGAAAAACGTAAAGAGTTCCTGGACGACCTGTTTGGATTCATGCAGAAGAGAGGTACACACACACATACACACACACACGCACACAAACACACACACACACACACACACATGCTTACTGGGGACATTATTATTCAGCTTTATTAGTTCAGTCTCAAACTCAATTTTTCCCATAATGCAACATAATACATACAGTCATTCCAAGCAGATCTACATTCAAGCCTAGTCCCTTAACGTTAATATATTTTGACCATGTTATGACGACCCCTGGTATTGTTTTGGTGGGGTGGATTATCTCGGCGCAAGAGAAGTGCTCATTGACATAGATTTAGACCAGGTGTGTCAAACCGGTCCTCAGAGGGCTGTGTGGCTGCAGGTTTTCATTCCAACCAAGCAGGAGCACAGCAGACTCCACCCATTTCCTCAGGTGAGTCCAGTCTTAACCTGAAAACCTGAGGAAATGAGTGGCGTCTGCTGTGCTCCTACTTGGTTGGAATGAAAACCTGCAGCCACACCGGCCCAGCAAGAAAGTTTCTGTCTGTGTGTGCGTGTGTGTGTCTCTTTGTGTGTGTATGTGTGTGCGTGTGTGTCTCTCTGTGTGCGTGTCTGTGTGTGCATGCGTCTGTGTGCGTTTGTGCGTGTGTGTGTCTCTGTGTGTGCGCGTATGTGTTTTTGTGTGGGTGTGTGTGCACGTGTGTGTGTGAGTGTGTGTGTGCATGTGTGTGTGTGTGTGTGTGTGTTTGTGCGTGTGTGCGGGGGGAGGGGGCGGGACGGGTAAAGATTGTGGCAGCTCGATGGGGGATTGATTTTGGGCTTAACAGAGACATTGTCAGATGAACGCTGCATGTGAGGGCGACTGACAGACGGATCCTATCACCTGGACGTACACTCACTACTGCACACTCCACTTGTGACTACGACAATCTGCTCCATCTAGTTTTATTTTGCGGCCTGATGCTAACATTAGCATTAGCGCAACTTAAGCTGTACAACAATCACTGATGAAATGGTACAAAAGCAACGCAATGCTAGCACAATATATGACTGAAAGATTACCGCTAGTTTCAGATTCAGATTCATTTATTTGCCATTTGCAGTAAAACCACATTCGAAAAACTGTGCAAGACTACCCCAGTGTATACCAGACAGAGAAGACGGCACACACCAGAGCTCTTTCGCGTCCGAATGTAGTCCGAGCATAGATAGTCCGAGCATAGATAGTCCGAGCGTAGATAGTCCGAGCATAGATAGTCTGAGCGTAGATAGTCCGAGCGTAGATAGTCCGAGCATAGATAGTCCGAGGCGGTCCCGCAGGTCTCTCAAATAGACAAGTCTCTCCAGAGGATACGATGTAAGCTAGCTATGTTCAGGGCTTGGTTTCTTCTTTGATCATGTTTTGGCTTTAGTTCATCTTCTCTTCCTCACTGTTGTGTGGTTTGGGCTGTTTTGCTGAGTCTGCAGTTACAGCCAGAGGAGTTAAAGCCACTTATGCTAACATGCTACTGTGTTTAGCAGCGCTGTAGAGGCTAGAGGACGCAGCCTCGTTCTGTGATTGGAGGAGAGCGGGCGTCACGCTAAAGTCTCTACTCAGCACTTTTTACGGCCTGAATTCATACACAGCTGAAACAATGAGCTCAAGTTTTTAATTAAATTACGGATTATAATACAATACAAGCATTTTCATGAACTCGTAAAAAAAATAATATCGGGCATAGCATTTTTAAAGAGTTGTTTTTGCACTGATTTTACACTAATAGAAAAAAGTGGTTTGTTTGAAAGACAGAATTGTGGAGAGATTTTCCGACATTTTCAAACAAATGATTTCCTCCAAAATAGTTCAACGTATTTTAAAGTCAAGGAGGAAGGTAGATCTCTCTCCCTCAATGTGGTCTCCCCAAGGTTTCTAACTTTTTGTTGTCGTTTCTTGCCGATGCAGGAGGGCCTAAGGACAGCATGATCCAGGACATTCAACGACATTTATTAACTTTTATTAACATTTATGGACATTGGTCATCTGCCCCTTGTGCACCAAAGACTCCAATGTGTTTATAGAGTTTGATTCTCTGATCTGTGTGTGCAAGGCGACAACTTTGTATAGTCCTCTCAGATAATTACTGAATTAGATAAATACAGAAAATAAGTTGAATTAATTTGAATAAAATTTTACTGCTACAATTACAACAAAACTTGCAGTCGAACTCGTGACCAGTCCAAGAACTTAAGCCACGGCCTCAGACCATCAGGAAGAACCATGTGGAGGAATAAGTCACAGTCGCAGAGAGCCACAAGTAAAAATACTATATTTGGATCGAGAGGCTTTTCATATGAGTCCAAGATGGTTCCCAATCGCTGTCAATAGAAAGCGCCGCGGCTGGATGAAGCAAACGAATGTTCAAATACATAGTTCTCTATAAATCAAAACAATAGCATTTCTTTAAAGGTCCTATAATACGCTTTTCTTCATGTTTCACAGTCAATCCTATGCACATGTGTGATAATAATTTGAGTGATACACCATACAACACTCAGAACCAGAGTCTGCTCCTCTGCCTCGGTGAGCCCGCCTCCCCCCGCCCTCACCCCGCCCTCACCCGCCTCCCCCCGCCCTAACCCCGCCCTCATCCCGCCCTCATCCTGCCCTCATCCCGCCCTCACCCCGCCCTAACCCCACCCTCACCCCACCCTCACCCCGCCCTCCCCCCCACCCTCACCCCGCCCTCCCCCCGCCCTCACCCCGCCCTCACCCCGCCCTCCCCCCCCCCACCCGCCCCCCCCCCCTAACCCCGCCCTCACCCCGCCCTAACCCCGCCCTCACCCGCCCTACCCCGCCCTCACCCCGCCCTAACCCCGCCCTAACCCCGCCCTCACCCCGCCCTCACCCCGCCCTAACCCCGCCCTAACCCCGCCCTAACCCCGCCCTCATCCCGCCCTCACCCCCCCTCACCCCGCCCTCCCCCCCCCCCCTCCCCCCGCCCTCACCCCGCCCTCACCCCGCCCTCACCCCGCCCTAACCCCGCCCTCATCCCGCCCTCACCCCGCCCTCACCCCGCCCTCACCCGCCCCCCCCGCCCACACACTGACGTAGCCTCACGCTCTGAGTTGTTTATCACCGGTACTTAGTCATTTCAGACATAATACACTTTTTCCAACAATGACAATCCTTCACATCAAACCCTATGTCCTCGATGCACAATCAGATCCTGATTATTTAGTTTACAGAAGTATACGGCGAGTTAGCGTCACTAGATCAGGGGGGTTTGTGTTAAGTATTTTATCGTGGGAATAACACACGTTTATGCACGTCATATTCTTCATCAGAGTGGTAATCGTCACTGAAGTGGACCCGAGCGTTTCTGTGCCTCTCGAGGGTGAAGGAGAGAGATCGCTCTCTTACTAAATATTGACAGAATCCATGATAAAACTACTCTGGGCTTGTGTATGAAGGCCAAATAGCACTGTAATCATGTTTAAAGCAGAGAAAAGTCAAAAAGCGTAATATGGGCCCTTTAAAGGATGATTTAAATCCACTTCAGAACTTTCAAAAAGATAAATTCTGACTTTTCCATGTGGTGTTAAAGCTGAGATACCTAACTTTCAAACCACAGAAAATAAACTACTGTTTGTAATAAATTGCATCTATCTATAGTTTTCATGGATGTAGTTTTGGTCATATCTTCAGATCAGCTTTTTCAGACGGAAAAGTGAAAAAAAGGATCACCCCAACTCAGCCAGTCAGCTCTCAGCCCAAAGCGTCAAATAGTGAACCGCAGGGGTCTTTCTTACAAGAATACAAAAGATAAATTGGTTTTAATAATCTAAAGATAAATGGTGCAAGCGAGAATAGACCAGTGCTGCTCCTGGCTCTTTGGTTGCTAGGCTGTTGCTATCCGGGATGGCACATGAGGGCTCTCTATTGGCTAAATCAAATACAGAATTAGAATAACAATTACTGGGCTAGAATTTTCTTTGTCTCAAGGTGCAAGTTTGTAAAAGTACAAATGGATATGAGGCGTGCATAAAAATCATTTCTTAAAATTGCTACTAATTCAATACCGGACAAATAGCGCTGTGGCAGGAGCTCTGGTGTGTATTATCCTGGTGCACACTGGGGTAGTCTTGCACAGTTTTTCCAATGTGGTTTTACTGCAAATGGCAAATCAATTCTTGAATCTTAAAGTAATTATCGCATTAAGTGGTCAGATTTGTTCACAAACCTCTGACTTTTACAAAACTCTTTCAAAATGATCAGTGCCTCAACTTTAAAGGACACATACAATGCTCAGAATTTAAATGGGGACGACACATTAGTTTCAAAATGGCCTCCGCAGCTCTGTCGTATATCTGAGACATTATAAACCTATAATCTATAACCCCATCATTCAGCCGACGGGACAATAGCCCTCGCGCCTCATCCATAACGTGGCGCCGGCTGCAGTCACTTTGAGCGCGGGACAGGCCTCTTCAGGGGAGATTCATGGGCCTTCGATCGGCCGAAGTATGCGCAGGTGCGATTCCCTCAAAGAGATACGGAGCAGGGCGCTTTTGTCAGCAGCTCGTTACGGCCGTACATCATAATGAGGAGCGGTGCTGAGGTCATCACTGTGAGACAATAATGCAGAAAGGCCCCCAGCTTATTGACCGGTATTAACTGCACATGTGAGGAGGGGGAGGGGCTGAGAAGAGTGACTGATGTGAGTGAGAGACAAAATAACAATGTAAAAATGTGAAATGTAGTCACAGGTAAGACTTGACCACAAATTAATCATCTGTTAAAGCACATTTCAATTCACAGTTAGTGAATCGCAATAGATTATACAATTATTGACAAGGAGCACGCTCAGGACATGATGCTGAAAAGGAGTAGGAGGAAGATTAAAACAAATGGAATCGTCCCCTTCTTGAATGATGTGATGTGTATTAATAAAAGCTTGATTCATTCATTCATGATGTTTCCGGCAAATACAATATACAGATTAATTTACAACTTAATTCTCTGTACAATACTTTCAAATTGATAAACAATAGCAGTTTAACACTATGGTCGTTCAGAAGTTTCTATACAAACTATTAGTTCAGAAAAGTAAAGTAACATTACGTTAACTCAACAATCTTTACTAAGACTCTTTCATCACTGACAGAGAACACACACACATTCACTGACAGAGAACACACACACATTCACTGACTGACAGAGAACACACACACATTCACTGACAGAGAACACACACACATTCACTGACAGAGAACACACACACATTCACTGACAGAGAACACACACACATTCACTGACTGACAGAGAACACACACACATTCACTGACTGACAGAGAACACACACGCATTCACTGACAGAGGACACACACACATTCACTGACTGACAGAGAACACACACACATTCACTGACAGAGAACACACACACATTCACTGACTGAGAACACACACACATTCACTGACTGACAGAGAACACACACACATTCACTGACAGAGAACACACACGCATTCACTGACAGAGGACACACACACATTCACTGACTGACAGAGAACACACACACATTCACTGACAGAGAACACACACGCATTCACTGACAGAGGACACACACACATTCACTGACAGAGAACACACACGCATTCACTGACAGAAAACACACACACATTCACTGACAGAGAACACACACGCATTCACTGACAGAGGACACACACACATTCACTGACAGAGGACACACACACATTCACTGACTGACAGAGAACACACACACACATTCACTGACAGAGAGAACACACACACATTCACTGACAGAGAACACACACACACATTCACTGACAGAGAACACACACACATTCACTGACTGAGAACACACACACATTCACTGAGAACACACACACATTCACTGACAGAGAACACACACACATTCACTGACTGAGAACACACACACATTCACTGACAGAGAACACACACACATTCACTGACAGAGGACACACACACATTCACTGACTGACAGAGAACACACACACATTCACTGACAGAGAACACACACACATCACATTCACTGACAGACGAGACACACACACATTCACTGACTGAGAACACACACACACATTCACTGACAGAGAACACACACACATTCACTGACAGAGAACACACACGACACATTCACTGACAGAGGACACACACACATTCACTGAGAGAGGACACACACACATTCACTGACAGAGAACACACACACATTCACTGACAGAGAACACACACACACATTTCACTGACAGAGAACACACACACATTCACTGACAGAGAACACACACACATTCACTGACGAGACTGAGAGAACACACACACATTCACTGACAGAGAACACACACACATTCACTGACAGAGAACACACACACACATTCACTGACTGAGACCACACACACATTCACTGACAGAGAACACACACACATTCACTGACTGAGAACACACACACATTCACTGACAGAGAACACACACACATTCACTGACACAGAGAACACACACACATTCACTGACAGAGAACACACACGCATTCACTGACAGAGACCACACACACATTCACTGACAGAGAACACACACACATTGACTGACTGACAGAGAACACACACACACATTCACTGACTGACAGAGACCACACACACATTCACTGACAGAGAACACACACACATTCACTGACAGAGAACACACACACATTCACTGACAGAGAACACACACACATTCACTGACAGAGAACACACACACATTCACTGACAGAGAACACACACACATTCACTGACTGACAGAGAACACACACACATTCACTGACAGAGAACACACACACATTCACTGACTGACAGAGACCACACACACATTCACTGACAGAGGACACACACACATTCACTGACAGAGAACACACACACGTTCACTGACTGACAGAGAACACACACACATTCACTGACAGAGAACACACACACATTCACTGACAGAGAACACACACACATTCACTGACTGAGAACACACACACATTCACTGACAGAGAACACACACACCTTCATTGACAGAGAACACACACACATCCACTGACAGAGAACACACACACATTCACTGACAGAGAACACACACACATTCACACACTGCAGCCGTCCCACTTTGGCACCTGGTGTTTCCTGAGGTCTCCCATCACAGTACTGACCAAGCCATGCCCTGCTTAGCTTCTGAGATGCAGTATGTTAGGATCAGGCTTTCACATGTAGGTGACACCACTCTGCTTGTAAGAACCTTGTAATCACCTAATCCACCGTGAGATGGGTATTATTATATATTTATGAGTTGGATAGTCCATTTTTGATGATTTTACTGTTTTACTATGGATTTGTTTTAATTCATATTTTATCGTGCAGCACTTTGGAAGCTGTGTTTATGAAATGTGCTACATATACAGATAAAGTGGATTGGATTTTTTTTTTTTATTCCTCTTTTTTGTTGTTGGGAATATTCAATAATGGCAGATTCTTGATCACTGGAGACAAACTTCACTGAGTTAGTTTCAGAAAAGTTGCGCCGTGCCCCTTTAATCATGACGGGTTTTATAGTAACTGCCAGAAAGAGGCGAATGAATTACAAGATTTATTATCAGAGGACGATAAAAAAAAGCCGTTGTGTAAAAAAAGTCTATTTTTTTAGCCGCAGATTTGTGTCCAGTCGATAACAGTAAAGTGGAGAAAGTTCTCCGGCTGCATTTAGGAGAAACAATGAATGAGACAGCTATTGTTTTAGAATGTCTCCTTTCCCCTGCGCGTGTGTGCGTGCGTGTGTGTGTGTGTGTGTGTGCGCGTGTATCTCTCTGTGTGTGTGTGCACGCTCTGTAATTACTGTGTGTAATTGACAATAGCCTTGTTTGCACTATATTTCTGCGCGTATCGATCGCTCTTACGGCAAATCCAATGGGCACAATGGAACTCTATCAGCAAAATGCGGGTTAATTATCGGGGGTCAAGCGCAGAGATAGTCATCGCGCTGCTTTACGGCCGCTCATTACGCTGTGAATACAAACGGTGGCCTTTATTTCTCTAATCGGGACATAAAACACTCTTCAGCCGCAGCCACAGCCGCAGCCACAGCCGCCTCAGCCGCAGCCGCAGCCACAGCCGCAGCCACAGCCACAGCCGCCTCAGCCACAGCCGCCTCAGCCGCAGCCGCCTCAGCCACAGCCGCCTCAGCCACAGCCGCCTCAGCCGCAGCCGCCTCAGCCACAGCCGCCTCAGCCATGAAAGGGTTCTGGAGGCGCTCGGAGCTGTGGTCTGGAGGAATGACGCTGCTTCTTCATCAAAACATGTGTTATTGTAGAAAAGTCCACAGACGTTATGAAAGGTCAAAACTATTATTATTATGACTGTATTTCAAACACAATACACTTATTTCAATCTAACGTCAGTGTATTTTCTGTATATCCGCACAAACAAATCATAATTTTATAGATATTTCAAAATGATTGTATTTATGAGTGTCCATGATTTTTTTTAAATGATTTGAAACTTTGTGGAAATTCTACGTCAATACTAAGTTTATTGTGTAATATGCAAACAAATGATTCTCAAATAACTCAAGCAGTTTGTAAAATGTACCTTACCACTTCGTCACATCAGTTTGAGTGGATGAAACTTTTATTGCACAGAAAATATAATTCTCAAGTAAAACATTAACATCATATTTTCTCTCAAACTTTTTCCAAAATCACGGCCTTTGAAGTTTATAAACACATGGATCTCTTGAACTCGTTGGGTCTCATTTATCATTTATCATTTATCATTTATCAACACAGGTGCAAAGTACAAGAGTGTGTGTATTTTCTCTGCTTTTGTTCAGTCTGGTGTCGTCCTCTGAGTCTGATGAATAATTCTGATCATATTTGTTATAAAGAGGATTACACTGGGTAACAAAAAAATATTTTTTGAAAATAGTCCAGGGTTTTTCAGCTGAATTAGACTAATTTTGATGCTCTGAGTCCGAAAATGACCTTGGTTTTGCTCAATCAGGTCAGGATTCTTTGCTACAGAAATATTTTTTTTAATTGATTTTGCGTAAAAAACTAATTTCTGCGGATCATCAGCTGAGAAACCCTTGAAGTTTTTTCCGTTTTCCTCAAAAAATAAAAGTCAACGTTTCCAAAGTCATTCAGTTTTTATTTACTCCATCAAATTTGATAAGCAGAATTCATGGTTAGTGGTTAGTGCTGTGATGGGAGACCTCTGGAAACACCAGGTGTCACAGTGGGGCGGCTGCGGCTGTAAAATGCCAAACTGTTGTCGTATTCTTAGGCAAGACACTTCACCCACATTGCCTTGAATGAGTCTGGTGTGTGTGAAGGGTGATGACACAGACGGGTTGCCTCGCTTCTGTCAGTGTGCCCCAGGGCAGCTGTGGCTAAAGTAGTCGTTTATCACCACTGTGTATGAAGTATGATAATAATGAAGCATCTTTGAGTGTCCTGAAAACGCTATGTAAAACCAATGCATTATTATGATTATTATTGTTGTGGTGGAGTTAGTTAAAAATAGACTGTTAAAAATATTTCCTGATAACAATGATGATGAAGTGTCAAAAGTCAGATTTCTAGATTTAGTTTAGAGATCATTTCTCTGTAATCCCTGGGCCAATCCACATGAAACAAAAAACTGTCACAAAGTTCAACATCGTCAGCACATGTTAACTATTGTCTAATTATTATCCCGTAACAGGTGTCTGGAAGTGCTGACAATATCTGCATGATGTTGGCTGGTAGAAATGACTTACAGACATAAGAATAAAACGGGTACATCCAGATCTGGGAAAACATTTGGACAACAATTGTTTCAGAAAATGTGTCTTGGCACCTGCCCAAAATACTGAAGTAGAAATCTCGAACATGAAAGCACCTGTTTGATTGGAGCCCGAGTAAAGCAGCCGTCTAGAGGCACTCGCTGATCTATATTTGTAAATGCATAGATTGGGAACTATTATTATCTTTATCACTGGAGTTTGAGTTTGAGTTTAGTTTGTGTAAGGCCCGTATAGGTACGAGACTGAAGCAACAAAGTCAGAAGGCTACAGACTGTACATCATCATCAGAATTTTATTACAGACTCATGGTCCAGAAAAGACAAATATATTACACAAAAACACAAAACAACATGTAATCACAACAATAAGCCTCACTCCTCAGAGCAAACAGCTGTACCAGTGTCTCCACAGATCTGACTGGTACCGAGTGACACTGACTTTGACATTTGTCAGGCTTATGATTATAATATTCTGGCTTTCACTGAGCCGACAGATAAAACTGTACATCAGACATCAAATAGCCGCCTGAAATGTCCTAATTCCAGCTGAGACACAAACAAAGAACTTGCACTTTCCCATCTTGACCTTTTCAATAAAATCCTCAAGCAGTCGTTGTGTGCCACATTGAGTTTGCGGATGGTTGTTTTTTTGTACTTGGTCCACAAGTGTGCTGTGTTTAATAATGTACAGTGTGCTTTAAAAAGTGTGTTTTTCACCTGCGCTGTACAAGCACCAACCCTCATCATCAGACAAGTCATCGCAAATAAAATGGCCCAAGTATTTATATTTGGATCATATAGTAATATATATGAGTAAATAATGTCTTACAGTAAACACACAGGATACAGAATCTTTCTCATCTCCCAGGTTTTAACAGCAAGAGAAGCAAAGGCAAAAAGCTCATTGATCCATAGATGAAGTTCTGCTTTTTCTTTGACTTTCTCTTCACTTTTAAATTCTTCTAAGTGTGTGTTTGTATGTTTCTACCTGCCTTAGGACAATGAATGTACTTTAGCTATTGTGCTATTTCCAGAATTAATGTTGACGCTGTTTGCCAACACATTGATTCATATGCACTGTCCTAAATTCAAATAGATAAATCAATTGTGTTACATCCAGTTCATAATTCCCCCTCAGGCCCAAAGAAATCTGCATTAGAAGCAATTACTGACAATACAAAACAAAAAACGGCTCATTCTCTACCTCCCCCCCAGCTCACAAGTCCCTTTAAACTTTTAATATTTGATGGAATGGAAAACATACTTCCAGACTTCCAAGTTGAGCTCGATAAGTCCCCATCACCTCCTTCCTCCTCTCTCAGCCCCACACATAAGTCCATCATTCCTCACACACTAACGAGTGCGGAGCTGTGAAATGACACCCGCTCGATACCCCTCCAGTCCCCTCCGATCCGTAATCCTCACTCGCCTCTGCGCGCCGGGAAAAGTTCACTTGAGTTGTTATAGCCGAGCTGTCAGGGCCCAGACTCAAATAAATGACCATTGACTATAGCAGCGCCAGTTAATAGCATTGATCTGTGTGTGTGTGTGTGTGTGTGTTGTTGTGTGTGTGTGTGTTGTTGTGCGCAGGGACCCCCGTGAATCGGATTCCCATCATGGCCAAGCAGGTGCTGGACCTCTACATGCTGTACAAGCTGGTGACGGAGAAAGGCGGATTAGTGGAAGTCATCAATAAGAAGATCTGGAGGGAGATCACCAAGGGCCTCAACCTGCCCACCTCCATCACCAGCGCCGCCTTCACGCTCCGCACGCAGTGAGTGGGCCGCACGCCGACACCACGAGGTTCAAACGGCAAGATCCGGGCCCCAAGTGGTCACGTTTTTTGCACAGGCGACGGTTTTACATCAAAAATATACATTGTTTTTTGGTGCGTTTAGGGGCTCTGTGTGAAGCTCATATTCTGCATCTGTGGCTATTTGTTTATCTATTTATTTAACATTATGGACGTATTTTGACCAATTTATTACTTTCGTTCAACAGTTTAGATACACACTAACCCACACCCTAACCCACTGTTAGGGTTAAAAAATTCTTAAAATATGATTGAAATATTTGTTTGTTGTTCGTCGTAAAATTGTGTTGTTCAGGTTTTTAAATAAACATTTTTATTGATTGATTGTTTTCAGGTAGATTTTTTTCTGAACCAAAATGAGATTAGTTTTGTTTGGATTGAACCAAAACGGAACCAAAGGTAAAATAAAGAATAGACTGACATGATATTTTCTCTGTTTATATTTAACCTAAATGCATTTTTGTGTTTAATGTGCAGAATAAATGAAATACTATGAGAAAAAAAGCTTTAATTTGGATCATTTTGGAGCCACTTTGTCGGGCTTGAGCAGTACATCATCAATCAATCAACTTTTATTTATACAGCACAGTTGATACAGAATGCAACCCAGAGTGCTTCACATCAGCAACAGATAAAACCAATTTTAAAAAGCACACTGTAAAAACACATACAAAAGACAATTTCGTAGTTTATAAATCATGTGTTTCAGATTCATTTATTTATTTTCCATTTGCAGTAAAACCACATTGGAAAGATTGTGCAAGACTACCCCAGTGTGCACCAGACAGAGGTGCAATTATAAGAGGAAAAAAAGAGCCCCCAGTGGCATTGCAGGTTAGATCAAATGCCTAGGAAATGTGCTCTCCAAATATGTCTTTTTATTTAAATTATAATTGTCTTTATTTACATTATTTCAAGGTCTGACAACTCGTGACAGATGACATTTCAAAACAAGAAAAAAAGATACCCCAGCAGCAGCTACAGCCATAAAAATACAAAAATGTTCTCTGCGACCAAAACATCACACAGCATCAGTCAATAGGAAAGTCAAGTCAAAAGTAGATGGACAGAGTGACAGACGAGACACGGACGAGACACGGACGAGACACAGACAGAGCCACAGACAGAGACAGAGACACAGACAGAAACACAGACAGACACACAAAGACACAGACAGAGACAGAGACACAGACAGAGACACAGACAGAAACACAGACAGACACACAGAGACACAGACAGAGACACAGACAGAGACACAGACAGAGCCACAGACAGAGCCACAGACAGAGCCACAGACAGAGCCACAGACAGAGACACAGACAGAGACACAGACAGAGACACAGACAGAGCCACAGACAGAGCCACAGACAGAGCCACAGACAGAGCCACAGACAGAGACACAGACAGAGACACAGACAGAGCCACAGACAGAGCCACAGCCAGAGACACAGACAGAGCCACAGACAGAGCCACAGACAGAGACACAGACAGATAAGACGACATTCACTCCCATTCTCATTCTACACCTAATAATGTCTTGTATTGATGGTGTTTCCCTGTGCTGCCCCCTGGTGCTCAGGTACATGAAGTACTTGTACCCGTACGAGTGTGAGAAGCGCGGGCTGAGCTCCCCCGCAGAGCTGCAGGCGGCCATCGACAGTAACCGGCGAGAGGGCCGACGGCAGAGCTACGGAGCCGCACTGTTTAACTACTCCCCCGTCAGCCCCCCCTCCCTCCTGGCCCCGCCCAAAGTGCACCTGCCCCACCTCTCACTCACCTCCCACACCAGCGCACACCTCAGCCAGATGACCAGCATCAAGAAAGGTGAGGACTACTTTGCTGCTCAGTTTTCATACGTTCACTTTCAGAAGTCCACTTTTGAGCTGAATTAGACCCAAAGAAAACTTACACTAGAACTGAGCAGACGGGTCAAAACCCATCACCTGTCCAGCTGGTGTCTGGTCCTGTCCAGCTGGTGCCTGGTCTTGTCCAGCTGGTGCCTAGTCCTGTCCAGCTGGTGCCTGGTCCTGTCCAGCTGGTGTCTGGTCCTGTCCAGCTGGTGCCTGGTCTTGTCCAGCTGGTGCCTAGTCCTGTCCAGCTGGTGCCTGGTCCTGTCCAGCTGGTGCCTGGTCCTGTCCAGCTGGTGCCTGGTCCTGTCCAGCTGGTGCCTGGTCCTGTCCAGCTGGCCTCAATAGTAAGAGTATCTCTTGAATGAAGGAAAGCTGAAGCTTGAGACTGACACATGAAGTGTCTGCAGTCAGAGCTGTATCAGACTGTTTGGTGAAGAGGGAGCAGCGTCTGCAGTCAGAGCTGTATCAGACTGTTGTGGTGAAGAGGGAGCAGCGTCTGCAGTCAGAGCTGTATGAGGCTATTGTGGTGAAGAGGGAGCAGCGTCTGCAGTCAGAGCTGTATGAGGCTATTGTGGTGAAGAGGGAGCAGCGTCTGCAGTCAGAGCTGTATGAGGCTATTGTGGTGAAGAGGGAGCAGCGTCTGCAGTCAGAGCTGTATGAGGCTATTGTGGTGAAGAGGGAGCAACGTCTGCAGTCAGAGCTATATCAGACTGCTGTGGTGAAGATTGGGCTGATTCCAAAGGCAACGCTCATGAGTTATGATCCTGAGTTTGATGGACTCTGCTTGGAAACTGTTCAGGATTAGCGCCACCAGCTGGACCGAGCGTTGTATTACAGCGCACTGTGACCACGGGCCATCTTCACACCACTTGGCCTAGTTTGTTTGTGAGAACTTTGTGACCGTGCCCTTAAGACTCTACTCTACTCGACTCGACTCTCCCCGGTTTGCGGACGTTTCCACCGGCTCGCTTTGGCCGCACCCCGTTACTTTTTTGGTAACGGCTTTAGACCTGGCTCTAGTCGGGCCGAGCAGATACTGTTACCCCAGCAACGTCGGCGAACGCTGGTGTGTCCCACTCAGCAAAAAGCAGACACCTTTTCTCTGGCATCTCTAACATTTATAATAAATACATAAATATAACATTCATAATGAAGATGCTTTCAAATTATTTAGAAAGTTGTAAACCATTTATGTTTTAACTCACACGGCTCCTCCCCTGCCAAACTTCTCTCTGCTCTCTCCTCCGCAAACCACCACAATGAGGAAAAGGGAATATTCACTCAATCTATTTTGAATGTTACACAATATTAATATAGGCTAAGCACGCGTAACATCTGTAGCCTGTGTAATTACAGTAGACTGTAAATATTAAAGTAATTACGCACCTGCTTAGAACAGTAGCGGCGCCAGGTTTTCAATTTTGGGTAGGCCTGCAGATTAGTATAGGCCAAATTCGCTCGCAAACTACAAGGGGTAGCTGGAATTGAGGTTTCAAAGAATATGGTTCAAACGCACGCACACGCACTCAAGCACACACACTCAAGCACACACACTCAAGCACACACACTCAAGCACACGCACTCAAGCGCACACACACTCAAGCACACACACTCAAGCACACACACTCAAGCACACGCACTCAAGCGCACACACACTCAAGCACACACACTCAAGCACACACACACAAACACACAGGCCCTCATTTATGAAACTTGCGTAGAAAAAGGTGTACATTTTGGGTGTATATTCCATTTACGCAAGATCCAACGTCGGATTTATGAAAGTGTGAGATCCGCCCAGATCTGAGCGTACGCAGCTGCGGGTGTTGATAAATGCCGCGGCTGAAAACGAACGTATTTATGAAAGTCACGCCTAGAATTATGCAGCAATCGCCTGTTTCACGCCCCGTCATTGCGACAGGTCAGCAGGAAGTCGGCCAAAAAGACTTAAAATAAATATACGATATTCAGCTGCGTTTTGAACAAATTTGCAAAAATATTTTGATACATTAGAAAAATCTCTCTTGAATTGTAGAAGTGAATAAATACAGATTGAATGAATGAATGAATTCATATATATTATGCAGCAGTGACTCTCATCAATGAAGTGTCTGCAGCATTTGGTTCCTGGTTTTGCTGATAGTCCTCCCTCAGAGGTTCTGCTGATGGTGACGTGGTCTTCATGTTTCAGAGGAGCCGCTGTCCAGCTGCCTGCCGGGCCCCGGGGCCCACTCCCACTCCCACCACATGGGGGTTGTGCAGGCTGCTGCTCTGGAGAGCCTCAGGGAGAAGCTGGAGCTCACTGAGCCTCCAGAGAAGAAGATGATGATGGAGGAACACAGACTGATGCAGCAGGCTCTACAGCGCAACCTACTGGCCATGGCCACACAACTGCCACTCAACATCTCCCTCAGCAACACAGGTCAGACTGCTCCTTTGATGACAGTGTTTAAATAGACTTCATCATGTAATGTTTAAATATTTAACACAGATTGTAAGTGCACAAATGGTTCACACCAAACTTTGATGACAATAAATTTTTCTGTCACAATCTTATAACATCTAGGTTTGTAGAGTCTGATGTTTGTCGCTGATGGTGGGAGGAAAATATATGTGTAGTTTACACATTGAAAAAGTACGCAAACATTTTCATAATTGCGACAAAGGGCACAGCTTATGCCAAAATGACATCTTAAGCTTCTAACCATGTTCTAACATTGTTCCTAATTAAATATCAAAACAGAATTGATGCAGGATTGTGAATACAGCACTGCAATATTTTGTCTCTGTAAACAAATGTCCCACATGTGAGCGTCAGCTTCTGTTCCACACTGTGTGGATTCACATTCCCCACATTTGCATCAGTGTCCACTGACTCTCATTCGAGGGCGTGTTGACAAACCAAACACACCTAATGCCAAATTCAGTGTGCAAATATTTCCTTCACGGGACAAAATAAAGAGACTTAATGTGTAGAATATGTTCATTTGAATCTTTTAGCTGAAAAGAAATTGTGTTTGTTAAAATGGTGATTCTTCTAAAACAAAACTACTAAAGCTACTACTTCTTGTGAGTGTAGCGTGCGGCCCCTCCCTCAGGTCAGTGATGATTATAAATATGGCGGTTGTGGGTATTATGACAGAGCTGATCTGTGGAGAGGAAGGCTCACCAGACCATAGCGCAATAAGGCTGAGGATCGCCATGGTAACCCATAATCAAACACGTCCAGCTCCATGATGGAAAAGGAAACTGGAGAACAGCTAATGTTTTCATTTGACATAAAATTTTGACAATGCAGATACACCATTATCAGATATATCCATACAGAAAGTCCATTCAACACTTGGTGGTTGAATGGTTGGTGAGTCTGAATGGTTGAATCAGACTCACCAACAAATGGTGAGTCTGATTGTTTTATTTTTTATTATTACTTATTTATTTACATGTCAGTGCGCACAGATTCAGCTTCTCATGTTCAACACTGATCATGTATTTCACTTGTGTTATTTAAACTATTTTCTAGTGAAGTAACTTAGTGTACTCTGACAGTATGTTAGGTCTCATTCACAGAACTGAAAGGCCTCATCAGCATTTAAAAACATTTTGTGGCCTACAACCTACTATAATTTCTTTACATTTGGCCCTTGATAAAAATGACTTTAACACACCCTCGCCTGTGAGTGTGTGTGTGTCTGTGTGTTTATGTGTGCGTGCGTGAGAGCGGTCCAACCCTTTTTCGAACTGTGTCTTGTCTTTTGTGCGAACGCTCGAATAAACGCTTCTAAAAAGTAACTTTAAGCTTGTGCTTCTCACGCCACACTCACTGTCACTGAAAGAACAGATTCAGATCACACACTCTCTGCTATAGTCCATACTGTTGAAATAATCACCTGTTTTTACAGCCTCCCTCTCTCCTCCTCCTCCTCTTCCTCCCTCTATCTCTCTCATTCTCCTTTTTCTACAGATGTGAAAAGTGACAGACGCTCTCTTTTAATCCGCCGTCCTTACGCTGTCACTCATTCCACCATCTCCGATACTCCCCTCTCTTCTAAACGCCACTATCGAGCTCCCTGCCTCTCACCACTGCTCTCCTCTCTTTTGACAGATGATAGACAAGGGGCCGCATTGAACCTGTCTACCCACGGCATTAGCAGCATCAACATGTCAATAGAAATAAATGGACTTGTCTACACAGGTAAATAGCCGGGCCGTTTGCTGATGTAATTGCAGGCAGGAAATTCAATAAGTTATAGCAGCTCGGAGCCCCTCAGTCCTCTACACAATTTGACGTGTTCTCTCTATAAAATCCATGGTAATGAAGTGGCGGGCCAATAGCTGCAGCAGCACGGATTGGCTTCGATGAGGCTTATTGTCCTATGAGCCGGAGCGAGGTAATGGACAGCATTCTCCCAAAAATGTTTTTATAATGTCTTCCATTCAGAATTGTTTATACATTTATGTTGAGAATGATTTGTTGTAGTAAAAAAAAAAAAAAAAAAAAAAAGGACTTAAAGCAGGCAAACACAGAACACTAGGCAAATTTGGCCTTAATGGGGATTAATGGGCTACACTGAAATGTCATTTTGAAGCTAAAATTCTCAGAGAATCAACCATATCATTTACCCCCGCACACGATTAGAAGATGCATTTAAAACAACAAAATTACAACTCTTCTTTATATTATATTTGTTTATTTAGTTGACAGGGACATTGCACAATAAATGTATTCTACAGACACGTGTACGTCTAAATGTTCACCTCTGGGCAGAGAGCTGGGAGGCCGTGTATGTAAACACTGAACAAGAAAGGCCCTAATATAGAGCCTTGAGGCACCTCGACCAAGATGTCGGAAAAAGGCAACATAGTGATTATAATTCTTGTGCAATGTTGTCAAAAAAAAAATGTCTAAAAAAATATGTTTGATAGCCATGAACACATAGTTTAAAAAGAGGACAAAATCGTCTCTCCTCATCATCTGTCCCCTAAGCCTGTGTCCTCTTCCTCTTCCTCCTCCAGGCCTCCTCTTCGCTCGGCAGTCGACTCACGGTGAGGGGCCCAAACACAGCGGGGGGCCCCACACTCAGGGAAAGAGCAGTCCGGCTCTGCACGCACACTTGAACCATCTCTCCTCCTCGTCCTCCTCTTCCTCACTGCACGGACACAGAGGCTCCTCCCCCTGAGACCTGCCCACACAGGCCCCGCCCCCTGAGACCCCTGAGTCCCCCTTGTTCCCCCGACAAGCACAGTTTAGGATGCTGGATTCACAACGTCCACAGAAACCTTTGCCTACAAGCTTCTCATTATTTATACTTGAGTTCTACCCCAGATTACAGTATGTTAGGCCTAAGTTTGGGGACATAAGAAGAAATGGGACTTCCTGTTTGTCGTCATGCCATCTGGAGCATCCATCTTGACCGTATAGACATGTTGAATGCTTTGTTTACAGTGATTTCACGCATGCGCAGTAACCCTGGGGGAAAAAGAAGCTCATTGCGACTCAGTACAATCTTGGCATTTCGTCCCGGGCCGTGAGATATCATCTAGACATTAATTATGGCCATTGGTCATCCCGCCCCCTGTGGACCAATGGCTCCTGTGTTTCCTGTGCTCACACGGTTTGATTCTCTGATCTGTTGAGAAATTGACAACTTTGTAAAGTCCTTCCGAAACGACTGCTGTTGTGATTTAGGGCTGTACAAACATAAACTGAATTTAATTGAATCTATTTTGCAGCGGACAAAATACCAAGATTCAGTATTGTTTTATCTCTGTTTTTATCCAAAGATTTTTGCTTTGTCCAGTTCTGTGATCATGTGACCAATCAGCACAATTTGCAAGATTCTGTTTTTGACATTTGCAGTAAAACCACATTGGAATAACTGCAGTCGCACAATGGCGGCTTCAGCGTCTTTTTTGCTGCATAAATGACTAATCTTAATTGTTTAGCTTGCGATTTAGACAATTCACTTAAAGCTTTTGAAGTCAAGCAGTGGATAGACCCGCCCACGCTTACCCTTGCAGCTTCCTGATTGGTCAAAGTTAATTCAAATCGTTTAGCACCCTTGCCATTGGTTCAACTGCTCTCCTCCAGGACATCTTACTGGTGGTAGTTATGTTAATAGGAAGGACTGTTTTTCAATATGTTATTATTGACTTACTGTACATAATGGCACTGTGTCCCTTGATCAGAATTATGCATTATGTTAAAAATGAAATCCAATTTGAGTATCCAACAAGTGCAGAAATGACGCAGCTACGGCCTGGTCTTTTCTGGACTAGATGCGCTCGCTGGTTTGCTCATCATATGGTTATACCAGAAACATACCATACTGTACGAGCAGCTAACGAGTTTCTGAGGATGTTGAGAATGCAGCATTAGATCTGAAAAGGTTTGGGTCTCTCTGGTCTCTGTCTAGTCTCTTTGCTCTCTCTCTCTGGACTCTTTCTGGTCTCTCTCTCTGGTCCCTTGCTGGTCTTTCTCTGGTCTCTCTCTGGTCTCTCTCTTTCTGGTCTCTCACTCTCTCTTTGGTCTCTGTTATTGCTGTAATTTACTGTCAATCCTGACAAAAAATTATAACTTAAATAACATTTCAATGTCAGTCTCTCTCTGGTGTCTCTCTCTCTGGTCTCTCTCTGGTCTCTCTCTGGTCTCTCTCTGGTCTCTCGCTCCTGTCTCTCTCTGGTGTCTCTCTGATCTCTCTTTGGTCTCTCTCTGATCTCTCTTTGGTCTCTCTCTCTCTGATCTCTCTTTGGTCTCTCTCTCTCTCTGATCTCTCTCTGGTCTCTATACTGAAGCAAGTCTTAATGTTTGGATATTGGGACCTCTATTGTTTATCTTTTCAAAGTTGTCAAACTTTGCGCCAGTTTTTGTGAATACAGTGATTACAGATATGAACCATAAACCGGGACAAACTAGATTCTCAAATCCAAAGGGGACATACTGTATTATGCAAATATTACTTTTAGATTTTACCTTGTGATTGTGTTCCCTTGTCATTATCTTACCCAAAGTTCATTTCTGTTGATTCTTGCATGTTTGAGAAATTCTGTAATGTCCCGCATTCAAGTCTTCAGTGTTTCGCCTCCCACCTGACTCCGCCCACCTGACCCCTCCCACTGACCCCGCCCACCTGAACCGGCCCACCTGACCCCGCCCACCTGAACCGGCCCACCTGGCCCCTCCCACCTGACCCTGCCCACCTGACCCCACCCACATGACTCCGGCCACCTGACCCCGCCCACCTGAACCTGCCCACATGACTCCGCCCACCTGACCCCGCCCACCTGAACCTGCCCACCTGAACCTGCCCACCTGATCACGCCCACCTGAACCTGCCCACCTGACCCCGCCCACCTGACCCCTCCCACCTGAACCTGCCCATCTGACCCCGCCCACCTGACTCCGCCCACCATTCTGTACTTGTGACTGCTCCAAGGTGAGACTTGTTGGGTTCAGTAATGTAACATAGGCATATTTTAACATTATAAACACATACATTAAAATGTGCTCTTACAGATTAGTGAGTGAGCCAAGTGCAACACTATACTGTGGCACATTCCAGGAACAATTACCCACCCATTCATTACAATAATACACAGAATACAATACAATTAACCAAAAATGCAACAAGCAAGCACCAATCCAAAGACCAATGACCGGCTCTATGCTAAGGGCAAGTGTCGAACCCTCCACCCACAGGTAGCAGCACCTTTAAATCCTTATCAATACAGCAGACCAAAGCACAATATGTCTTAACCCGATAAGTTATTGTTAAATATATAGAAACTCATCGTGCATCGACACATGTAGAGACAGTGCTCCCCCGGTGGCGCACGACGGAAGTGACAATCTTTCACTTTCCTTCTTTTTGTGGTGGATTCTGAACCCTGGGTGGTGTGTGTCTTTTTAGCTGGATCCCAAAGAAGAACTTGTAAATAAACACGCGATACCTCATAAGGTTTTGGTATGATTTTATTACAGTGCGTATAGTGTGTGGACGTGGAAGTATTTGGACTGTACCAAAGAGAGGAGTTTTCTGTCACAACACCTACCTCATCGACTGTGCCAATGTTCCTGATGTCACCAGTGCGTCACGCCGTCTCATATTTGTATGTATTTATTCATGTAATAATAAAGCCTCGACCACAACTGGATGTCTGTGTCTGCTCTCACTAATACTATCGATATATCGTATCTAACTACACCTATTACATACTGAGCAACAGATTGAAGTAGTGTGTAAAGTAGTAATTAAAAAAATACATTAATAATGAACTTGACCTAGTGTGAAGTATAATCCAACACAATATCACAGGTGGAAGAAGTGCAAATAAGCCATTAAAAAAAAATATGAAAGGGTTAAACATTTTCCCTTTACCAATTCATTTTTAAGTCTATGTTTTGGCCGTAGAGAAAGATTGAACAAATGAAATAACAATAACAAACCTTTGGTGCTCCATGATTTCAAGTTTTTGACATATTTTCAAAACAGAGATATCTGTTATTGCAAAAGAACTCATCAAGTATAGATACATGTATACAAAGAATAAATATTAGATCAGATAATATATTTAATAGTTACTTAATGTAACTTAAGTTCTACGAATAGGTGCGTAGTCCCTGGGGGACTACGAGTGATATCCCACTAGCGAAGTCCTAAGGGACGTAGCACCATGACGTAGAATCCTTTATTCCTACCACAGTTGGGAGATTTCTAGCCTGGTCGTACCACACCATAGTACACATTACATTTCGTACTAAGGTCTGGATTTGCTCCATTGACTCCGTTTACAGGTGGGAGGGGTTAACTTCCTTTGCAGATTGAAACCATTGGATCTGAGTTTACCGTGACGTATGTAATGTGCCCGAGTCTGCCGTTAGCATTTAGCATTTAGCCTAGCCATCTCCTTTGACGCTAACGGAGCCCGTGGGGAGTAGAGCCACAATTTTTTCCAACGATTACATTTGCTAAACATTCCTCTTGCTCCGGCTTCAATTTCTTGATAGAACCAGACCAGACTTTACTATCGCATTTTTCACCATTACCAAACTACAACCTGCCCGTTCGACGCAAACTCACCCACATCTAACTATAACACCCGCCTCCCGCGCTCTCTGATTGGTCGGTCGAAATTAAACTGATTGTAATCGCAAACACAGGGACCAGACCCAGACGTTACATGCAGTGAAATGATGATTGGTAGGAAGTTTCAGTGTCATCATGTATTATCTTTGGCCATTAAAAATGATAATGTCAATTATTACTGTCATTTACTGTGTGATTATAAACAATGTAATTCCTTTGGCTACGGTGAGAAAACTCATTTAGAGGCAGTACTTTTGTTTTAAAAGGAGTGTGACGTCAGAGTGGTCCGATGACATCATACTCTTACAGGACTGAGATTGAGTTACTGTTTGTGCCAAAAGTAACTGATATTAGCGTGGATGGATCTAAAAACAACTCCAGGTCTGTGGAGAGAAAGTGTTTTTAGCTTAAAGTCTCCTCTAAGTATGTAATAAAAGTATAAATAAATGTGTATGATACAACTCTGATAAAAGTTACAATTGTAAGGAAGTAATATCTCGCACACTGTATTTATATACACCAAACGTTTAAGACCGATTTTTATTTTCAAAGTTTGACTAACAGATGTGCGACGTTTCAAAGTATTACGTTTAAACAACACTATACTGTTGTACAAATGTTTCACGCTGCAAAGAACATATTTAGGACATTTAGATAAAGTGCTTTTCTTCTCTTAAAGCTGCACCATGTAACTTTTATAATCTTGTCATGAAGCGCTTTCTGTGACCCCGGTCTTTGAAATAAACTGAATCAATACAGATTAGGACAAAGACTTAGACGTAATCTCTCTCTACCACTGTTTCTGTGGAATCATTGCTCAAAATAACATCTTGTTCCATTGGTTCGATGTGTGTGTAGTTAAAGGGCTGAGAATCTGTGGATGTGAGTGGATTCAGATAAATAATACAACAGTTAAAGTGCAGATTGGAGACTTCTTCTCAGTAAGTTTTTATTGCCGCCAATGGCAAGAAAACAAAGTGACCACAGAACAATAAAACTCTGAAAAATGACTTTTACCTTTAGTCTGGCCTCCAAACAAAAGTTCATTAGTCTAATCGTTTCTGCTACACAATTAATCCTGTCGTACACGGCCTCTCCATCACCGCTCTGTTCGTCGCAGCTGCACTTTTGAGTCTGAGAATAAAGTTTGCGTTCAGGCAATTTAGCGCGCGCTGCCCGTTGGAGCGTGGCGCGGAGCAGCTAAATGGGCTAAAGATTGCTTAATTAAGTCTGAGATTCCTGATGTATGTAATTAGCAGAGGCGAGATTAGCGGCCATCGACGGGCTGGACAAGGATCGGCGGTAATAGGCTGGCAGAATGTTTCTTTATACCACGGAATAAACACAAACAAATTGGACGGGGAGCGCGGGAGGGCGGGAAATCCATGGTCCGATAACGCAGTGTTCATTTTATGCATGAGCGAAGGGCCGTGCGCACTCGATAGCAGCACTATAAAGAGCAGTACGCATCAATCTGACTGACAGGAGCCCGTCCAGCACCTCTGCAAGGAGAGAAAACAGCCAGCAGTGAGCGCAAATGTACTGCCAAGAGACGCAAAAAGTGTGGTTTACTTTTGTAGAGGCCAAAATACTTGTCTGGCTTAACCCAGATTGGTCAACATAACCCAGACTTAGACTTGAGCCTCCAGATTAGTAGCTAGGCCAGTTGATTCGCAAAGGAGGGCGTCTTGGTTCAAATGTTCCTTATGTGTTTTATCATCGAGTTGGTCAAAATTATGTGAAATGAAAATAATGCGGGAAGATTGGAACGGCTTTTTGCGCTTGTTTGATTTTCTATACAGTACACGTTGATAAGAATGACTTTGCTTTGTTGGCTTTCTTGGCTGCAGACTTTCATTTTTGGTTCAGTTTCAGTTCAGGTGGTGAGTGAGCCATGTGAAAAATGGGTGCTATGGCTCAAAAGGTCAGGGAACACTGCTTTAATCAACTCTCCAACTCCTCCCTGGTTCTTGTACAGAGTAAACGAGAAACCTCTGAAATCATGACACTGATGCCTGTGTCCGATAAATCCACATGAAATATACTTCTCTTCACAAACCACAAGTATTTGCATTTCTCTGACGTTCTCCCCGTGTCTGCGAAGGTTTCCTCCAGGTGCTCCGGTTTCCCCTACCACTAAAAACATGCACAATAGGTCTGAATGAAGACTCGCTTCTGTCATCACCGTGTGTGGAAGGACTGGAACAATATCTGACTCCGAACATTGTAAAGTGCTTTGGGTCTGAACTTGGTCTGTAAAAATGCGCTATATAAATAAACATTACTTACCACTACTTATACGTCTCATTGTCGCAGATGTATTGTGTTTGATTATTGAGGATTTCAGCTTCTCTATGTGTCCTCCTACGCACCCGATCTGTAGGTATTCATGTGCGAGTCCTTACTTTAGTCCCTATGTGTGACAGTGAAAGTGAAAGAAGAATGTTTTTAGGACTAATGCAAAGTTATTGTAGTGGGCTCTGATCATCTCCCTCTGGGGCATGTGGCCTGATCAGTTATGTGCTGTTGTATTTGTTTGTGCCGTTCTTCTTCTCTGCTCACGTAAACAGGGATTCTGAGTGTCTATTGTACAGCTCCTTACAACAGCGTCGCTCTGAAACAGCCGTGCTTTTCTTTCCGTTTAGACAATGTGATGGAATCATTTAGATGTTTTTACAGTTTCAAAGTGCAAACGTAGCTGTGTTCAGTGTTTAAGAGACAAATGTTGTGGCGATGCTGAGAATGTGAAGGTCGTGAAGTCCACAGAAACATGTTTTGAGCGTCCAGGCCGAGGAATTCTGCATCACGTTTGCAAACATATGAGCTTGTATCATGGTGTTTTCAGAACTTTCTTTTTAAAGTCAAAATGTGAAGTATTCTGAGTTTAAAGACTTCTCCATTTTCTGCCATGTTGTGCTCTGTCATGGTGTGGAGCTTTTTGTTATATCCTTGGTTTTTGTTTTTGTATTAGTATTTACTTCCTGTCTAATAATACATCCATGGTTGGTTGTGTGTTTCACTTGTGTCTCTGGCTCACCTCAGGTCAAATGAACCTGCTACAGTGATTTAAACATGCCTTAAATATGCCTTTAGGGTCTAATTTTAATCACTGTGGTGTGTAATTTGGACCCAAGGGTAGAACAAGGGAAATGTACCCAGTCTCTGCAACTTAAGACCTCTATGTTTAGGCAGGTTATCGCCTCACTGTGCATAGACCTATATCTGAAGTGTGTTTAGGATTTCTCTGTATATTTGTTTTTATGGGACTGACTTGTTTGTGTATTATTTTTACTGTATGTTTTTGGTGGGGAACTGCCTGATGTATCA